GTCTCGCTCTTGCTCAGCCTGGTTTCGAACTCCTGAGCTCAAACAATCCGCCCGCCTCGGCCTCCCAGAGAGCTAGGATTACAGGCTTGAGCCACCGCGCCCGGCCAGGTTCCTTTATTTCTTGCAGGAAAATTTTAGAGCTAGGAGAGAGACCTTAGGGATCATTAGGTCCAGGAGTTGGCAAATTACAGCCCAATAGCCAATTTGGCTGTCACCTGTTTTTGTATTACAGAGAGCTAAGATTCGTTTTTACATTTATAAGTGGTTTTAAAAACAAACAAAGAATATGGAACAGAAAACTAACTGTGTGTGGTCTGCAAAAGCTAAAATATCTATTTGCTGGTCCTTTACCAAAAAAGTTTGCTTCCTGATCTAGTATAACCCCCTCATATTAATATTACAGACCAAGTAATATTTAAGGAGGTTATAAAAGTAGATTGTCTCCCACTCCGGAATTCTTTTCCTCTCTCTTTTACAAGTTCCCTGTATTTAAGACAGATACTATACCTAGTTAGGGGCTTTTGGTTTGAGAAAGACATTAGAGATTTTGGAGTATTAATAATTAAGCCATGGAAAGATTAAGTAATAGTACTTAAAAATGCCAAGGAAATGGGGTGGTAAGAATAACCTACAGAAATTAATTTACCTGGAGAAGTTATGTAGAAACTGGTAGCACCTTCACTCAAACCTAGATCTGACTGATGCTCAGTCCCAAGGGAGTACTCCCACCCCATGGAGTATAGTAAAGATCATCACTATGCTGACTACCAGGAATAGAAATGCAAACACTGACCCACTGCACCCTGGGCTGCACTTTTACCAATTGCCTGAGTCTGAGGAGATGGAACACACACACAACAAGCAGATTTATTACTTACAGATAGGCAGCAAGGAACAACAGAAGCCTAGATCCATTGTTTGCTTGTCCCCCAAAGCTCAAGAAAGCTGCCTGGGGCAGGTGGATTCTCAACTGTGTGTGCCTCATTTGTACCGTAGCTGAGAGATCCCAAAAAGCATCCTGCCCTGGGTTTTATACTCTGGGGTTATGTGAATCACTGGGCAAAGCTTTGAAGGACATCCTGTTTCTAGGTGGGTACTGGAACAGAGCACAGGATGTTACGTTCCCTGTACATTATTCCCTGCAGTTATTCTGAAAACTACAGGCAAGAAGAAAAGGGGAGAAACTGGGTCAGTCAGTCCAAGGCCATCTGGGAACCATCCAGCACTATAACTTTAATATTACATGTTTGTCAGCTGGGAGAATTAAGTTGTGTTAATACTGCTCAAAATAAAAAGCAGAACAGATGGGGAACAGCAGAATATGGTGAAAGACTACAAACTTTGGAGTAATACTCGGGTTCAAATTCAAGTCTGCCACTTATATGCTGTACACCTTGGGCAAATTATCTTTCTTGGCTTCATCTCTTCATTGTATAAAATAAAAACAGAAATACCCATCTTGTTGAAAGAAGAAATAAGACAGGATATGAAAGCTAAAACTCCTGGCAGAATATCTAGTATATGAGCTTTGAAAGTAATAACTACTATTGTTTGAATTACTCTGAAATGAAAATACTTTCCCCTTTTGGGTGTCTTTCATTTCTAGACTCCCATGGTGACCCTCTCTGGCCACAAGGAAGCAATTTCGTCAGTTCTCTGGTCAGATGCTGAAGAAATCTGCAGTGCATCTTGGGACCACACAATTAGAGTGTGGGATGTTGAGTCTGGCAGTCTTAAGTCAACTTTGGTAAGACTTATAAATTCAGTAGTCCTCTGATTAACTTTGATCTTCTAAGTGATGAACTTCTAGAGATCGTTTTTTTTTTGTTTTTTTTTTTTTTAGTCCACCATGGTGAAATATTCTTTCCTTTTCTTTTCTTTTCCAGACAGGAAATAAAGTATTTAATTGTATTTCCTATTCTCCACTTTGTAAACGTTTAGCATCTGGAAGCACAGATAGGCATATCAGACTGTGGGATCTCCGAACTAAAGGTGAGTCATGTAAACCACTGGGGGAAAAAAATGTGTAAATAACATCAATTCCTCTTCTCGCAGATGTATAAAAAAAGATAAATTTCTACAAATTTTGGGGGGGGGTTGTTTTACCTATTTCTCTTTTATAAAATTTAACACCTGTTATCTTTTTTGCTTTGTTCAGATGGTTCTTTGGTGTTGCTTTCCCTAACCTCACATACAGGCTGGGTGACATCAGTAAAGTGGTCTCCTACCCATGAACAGCAGTTGATTTCAGGTTCTTTAGATAACATGGTCAAGCTGTGGGATACAAGAAGGTAAATCCTATTTATGATCTACAAAAGAAAGATACCCATTTTCTATTATATACAGAGAAAATGAAATAAATACTGAAATCATTATCCAAAACCAGAAGGGTAAAAAAAAAGTTC